ATACAAGTATAGCATAGAGTTCATTTATTATTACGCCAGAGAAACTCGCAATGTGTCGTAGACCGCAGTCATAGTACGCAGCCGGGTTCAAGGCTTCGCACGGGCGGCGCTTGACTCTTTCCGTCCAACGGAAACACTTGTGATTTGAAACAATGCCCTCTTCAACAATGCCTATATGAAATTTGTTCACTTCTGTTCCGTTCGGTGCGTGCAAGCATCTATATATATGCATATTTAATGATGTTATCAACAGATACTATGATCTGAGAGCTGAGTTGGAAATTTAATAGAGTTTTTAACTACAAAATTTGTTATAAGTGTAACAGGTGTAAGTATCGAGTATATTTGAGTGCGCTTGAACACTTAAGTCCGTATTGTAGTTCAAGAAGTATTGCACAGCAAGTTGAAACTCTTCGCTGAGCTTTGGTAAATGCCAATCACGAAAAGATAAGAGTGCTCCTAGGCATGTCTTTGAAAAGGTTATCATGTCAGTTTAGTTATAGTTTCTACTACTTTGCGAAATCGATCAATCTGCGCTTATTCCATCATAGAACATCAACAAATTTTTAGATTGTCTGAATCGAGACCAATCGAGACCAGTGATGTCCGGGTATGTAGGGTTTCATTCGTCATATTTCATAATTTTGTTTATTAAGCTTTGGCACAAGTCGTTAATTTTTTAATTGACATAAAAAATTCAAAGTGAAAAATTTAATGATATGGTGAAATATTGAAATTATGAACATAATCCCAAAATTTCAGAAAATCATGGCCCAAGATCCCCAAAAAAAACATTGCGACAACTTTGTATGTTTTCGATATTGGACAGTTGATTTATTAGTGATTTTTAACTTCCCGTAGGGTAAGTTATTGTAATGGGCCGAAAATCGAAATTGAAATTTTTTACATTTCTCGACGTTTTGAAGGTTTCTGAACATTTTGGCATACCTCAGAAAAAATGGATGTGTGTGTGTGTATGTATGTATGGATACAAATTTCCAGTCACGTTTTCGGGTGCAAGGATCAGCCGATTTGAATGATTTAAAAAACATTTGATTCCTATTGATAGGGTGATGAGCTGATTAGTTTTTGGCAGAGGCAGATCCAGCAGTTACGGAGATAAAGAGCAAAGAGTGCAGAAAATAAAAATCGAGTTTTTGGGAGAACGGAGCATCCGATTTGAATGATCTAAAAAAAACATTCAATTAGTAATGATTGGGAGAAGTGTTTATTAGTTTTTAGCAAAGGCAGCCGTTTCGAAGATACGGAGCTAAATGTGTGAAAAATGGCAGTTTTTGAGAGAACTAAGCGTCCGATTTAAATGATTCAAAGAACTTTCTGCTCGTCTTAACAAAATAATTGATTTTGGAAAAAAAAATTGTTCCACCTTTTTTTTTCAAAAAAAATTTTTTTGTATATCGAAAATAATTCGGATTTTATTTTTAATTCTGATTATAGTTCTAATATACTTTAAACAAATAATTTCAGCTTTGCAATTCAGTTTATATAGTTCTTATAAATGTTACAATATTAATAATAATCTATTTGAAAACATTCAGTATTCCTCTTACATTTCGTTACGGTACGGGAAGTTCCAGCAATTTGCCTTAAGGCACGATGCCATACACCCCAATAGTAGTAATTTGTTTTTATTGCTGATAATTATAATTTTTGCATTCTATGTATGTTTTGGTTTTAATTCTAACAAATGAAATGTTTTTCATTGAGTTCCTCAATTTAATTTTCTTTAGAATCATAGATTGAATTGCAATCTGGTGTTCTGAAAACTTCGATTGATATTTTATTTATTCTTCTTTTTTATTACATTGAATGCCGTTTTTATCCCGCGTTTAGTAATTTGAAAAGTTTTACATAATCCAAAACTGTTTCTTTTAACGCATGTTATTATTAACCTTTCGGTAAGAAATTCAAAGCCGTGAATAATCGTTAAATTCTCAGGTTCATTTATGATTGAATTAGTTTCTTAAATCATAATTATGTTATAGCAGAATTGTATTTTTTCCTTTACAAACGTGGGAAGTACGCTTATACTTTGTCTTCATATATGGTATCTTGATATCATTATATCACCTTTCTTGAGTGCCGCTTCGTATATAAAATGATATTAAAAAAATATTTTTCTAAATTGAGTTTGAACGATGTTTTTATACCGGGAAATGTTGTTCGTATCTGTAATGGACAGCCAAAGTTGTTTGAACTGGAAGGTGGCGCGTCATACAACATAATACACAAAAGATTTTTTAATACTGGTATTTTTCCATCAATCGTGCCGTGCTCGTTTTGATGTAATCATGTTTTTTACGACAATTGGTTGTTGTTTAACTACCTCAATAACCACAAGTTGCTACTGTTTACGCTATTTTTTTATTATTAATCTTTTCCTAATCGAAGTACCGTGCACCAAACTAGTGAAATAATCGGCGTAACTAATTAACATAATATTGATGTAGATAATTTGTATATATTCGTATGTGAATCAAATTTATACGTGTGCCACACATGCTTCCATACTGACAATGAATATTTTTATCGCCGTAATAGTCATGTCAGTCATATGTGTCTGACGCTAAGAAGTTCTACATGAGTTATGTATGGCATATATTTCGAGAAAAAAGTTTTAATATAATAAAATAATTTATGAAGGGCCTTATCAGTTATATATGTGTGACATAAGAAAATATTCTTTTTCCATAATTTTGAAAAAAAATCTTTGACACAAAGTTTTCTTGACTTTTTAACTAAATTATCTAATGAAGTAAGTCACCACCATGGCCCAGGTTAAAATTCTTCTGATATTATCATTTTAGTGGCGATTAACGTGTTAATAGTTATTTTTTTAATATGATTCAGTTACAACATCAAAAAATTATTGAACTTATATATATTATAAATTAAATTTGCTCATATCATTCAAATCATAATCTATAACATAACTACTCTTTTAACCCTTTCACTATTTATGACGTCGCTGGACGACATCCACATGATATGCGGTGCGTACGGATGTCGTCCTTGGACATGACACTTTGCTTCAAGATTTACTATGAGTTAAAATTAAAAATTCTAGTATTTTTCTAGTTAAACTTAAAAATTTCAATTATTTTAGACAGATTTAATAATGCACGGTCTTTTTTCATGCAGTTGCATATATTTTATTAAATTATAGCTCGATGCTTTGTGGAAGTTTGGCAGAACATCCATGTCAAAGACTGTTGCATTTTCACGAAGCTCACTTGGTGTTCCAATAAATTGAGAATTTTTGTACTAAGATTTCTGTATACGTCAAGAATCCTATTTTTTCTAGAATTTTGCCAAGCTGGGCAATTATTGTAGAATATTAATAAAATTAAATAGAAAATTATCAACTAATCAGAACCATAGATCATAGATCACACTCAATACATATTCTGCATTTTATATCAAAAGCATTTGTAGAGTGCAAGTTATTTTTTTTTTAAATAATAGTGTAGCCGAGATTTGTTGCTTGTTATTATATACAGTACATGTTTATTATTCATATTAGCATGCATTGTGGCAGACAGCGCGGCACTTATAGATAACATATCAACCATACTACATCAAACATATTTTTCTAAACAAATATTTTTGTATTTAGATTTCATTTATTAGTTCACAGTTAAATGACCCAATAGTCAAGAACGGAACAATTAGTGGCTGCATTAAAATATCATTCTCACTGAATGATTAACTGGTTTTTATATGTAATACAAATATTACTATATAGTATATTGATATTTGTAGATATAAAGTAATACGTCTCTAAAACTGTTCTATTGCGATATTGAATATCTTTATCAGTTGTCTTAATTTTACCTAAGCCGTGTTAACGAATGTACCGCATGTACAGCAGGATTTCCTATGTATTACAATGCTGAAATCGGGAACAAATGTTTGGTTTTCTTTACAGAGATGAAAAGCGGCCGCTCTTACGAAGTAGAACGAGTATGTTTTATATTACAGCAAGACCGCTGATAAGAGATGTACACAAGCCTTAACTTATATTTGTTATCAGAAAACATACATTTCTGCTTTTGTTTATATATGTGCCGACATAATAATTTCGGAATATTTAAGAAGTTAATCAATAAGCAGGGAACTTTTAAAGTTGTAATGTTTTAAAATAAGACATAATCAAATCTTTTATTATTTACTATCACAAAAAAAGGAATTCACGAGTTCTACTTATACTTGAATAGAATTCTATTGGCATTTTACTATAATTAAATTAATTGCTATTTTTGTGTCATTATGATTGGCAGTCATTCTGGTGACCACACAAATAAAATCAATTCTATACTGCCAAATAAAACAAACAATATAAATACCATTGACTATAATAAATAGAGATTTATGCAATACATATTGTTAGTAATTGATGACTAATAGTTTAGATTTATCTTCAAGATGTATTTACATGTTTTGCTTTTCTAATATAAAGAAATACATGTAGAACAAAAATTTCTATTTAAATTAGTTTCCTTTTTTGTTGATTTGATCTTTTTGACATTCCAATTATATCGTGCGTTTCTTATATGTCATAATAAGAATGTTGTAATATCATAATTTATGATAAAATTCCGTAATTACACATTTCATTGTTGGATTTCTTACACAAACACGAATATTTTCGTGTTAGAACAAATGAAGTCGAGTCTCGTAGAGTTCATCCTTTGAGGTAATCGACTTTTTGTTTCCCGTAGACGCAGAGGTCATTATACCTGATTCATAATTCTATTCAGAGATATGTAACCTTTAGGAATCACAGAATGGTTAAGAATCAAAGAATAGAAATATTAATAACGATAGTAATTTTAGATTTTGCCCGAGTAATGAGCATCACCATAGCGATGAGTAAAGATTTATGTTCATTTAGATTTATATAAAAAATAATTTTTATATTGAAATATTCATTATTAACCTTTGGATATACATATGTGATCAATGTCCTTTATTTTTAGGGATGCCGCTCAAATGAAGACCGGCTCGCGGTCCGGATCGTTAGAATCGCTGGGCGAGCAACTAGATTCGGCACAGTCTGCCGAATCTCTTGAAACATCCGACAACCATTTAAATCACCTAAATCATCACCATCTTTCCAACCTTGGAATGCTCTTAGGGAATATACCGAATGTTGTAAGTGGAAACAATGGTAACAGTGCTGGAAATAGTGGATCAAGTTCGTCTTCCTGCGCTAATTCCACGGATGAAGACGCACACAGCCAAACGTCCATTTCACCCGTGTTAGATAATCTATTAAATGTCAACAGTCAAGCCGATCAACTTTTCGCAACGAGTCAAACACAGCAAAATGATGCTAAAGGTATTTATTGTAAAGAACTTATTGTGCAATTATTTAAAGGTGATTATTGAAATTTATGGTATTTATAATGTTTGCAGGATACAGATGTACTGGATGCAAAAGTCGTGAATCCGATGCAGTAGCTAGATGTTTAGATTGTGCCAATTTTTTATGTCCAAACTGCGTGATGGCTCATCAATTTATGCACTGTTTTGAAGGCCACCGCGTACTCAACGTTGCAAATCTAAAGGATCAGGACAATTCTATTACCGGTATGTGTTTTGTATGCCATATTAGAATATGGCAATATCCTCCGTCGGTCGGAAATTTTTTCACCTTCGAACGGTCGGAAAGGTCTGGCTGGACCACCGTTCATTTTACATGCATTTATATGGGATAAATGAGTTTTTGGTGTCTTATATATTAACGATTATAGTAATAAATATTTATAGTTTTGATTTTTTCTTTTTCTTACCGTCTTTTGCATGTGTTGAGCTTGCTTATAATAAAAATATTACATATTATATTATATAAAAAAATCAAGAAATATAAAAAAATCGTTGCTCTTTTTGTTAATTTTTCTGCCTTTGAAATGAATGTAAAATTCAAATGAAAACGAAATGAGGTGCGTCGTCTTTGAAATGAGCTTTGAAAAGTGAAAATAAAATTTCACTACAGGTTTGCCAAAAAAAAATTTCGTACGCAGTACGGGTAGAAAAATTGTTGATAATGTGTGCATTACTCATCCGATTTTCAGTGTTTGCGATTACCAATAAGTTTGGTAGGTTTTCAAGCAACTCTCGTCATGAAAATACTAACATTCATGTTACAACACATAGCAAAGAATATATACGACCATAGATAAACAAGTATACAACGCAGTTTGAATAGAAAATACCATGAAAAAAGACAAAATACTGGTTCACATATATCAAAAACGTATATTTCATACAAAATGTATGGGTGGTCTAGGCAGACCTTTCCGACCGTTCGGAGTATAAAAAAGTTAATATCCTTATAATTATCCTTCTGTACATTTTTTGGTCCTGAATTTTTCATTGATCGACAGCTAATGAAATTTTAGGAAAAGTCAAGAAATTTCAAGTCGATAGGATTACTAGCAGTATTTTTTTTTAAATTGAAGTCGAAAAAAGTCTGGCCAGACCACGCCGACCGACGGAGGGTTAAATGTAACGTATTAATTATATTATTTTCATTCCAGGTCCATTATCAGAAAGCTTGAGCGCATTAGGATCTCGTTTATTAGGCGCAGCAACGAATGGGTCCACAGTTACATGTCCACGACACAAGCAGCAATTTACATTGTTCTGTCAGCCTTGTTTGGTGCCAACTTGTGTGGAATGCGCAAATATCGGCGAACATCTTTCGCACGAGATGACACCGCTCCAAGAAGCAGGTCCCAGACAACTTGCCGAACTATTGCGCAGCGCGCAGCAGGCTCGAGACCGAGCTCAAGATATGCGCACACAGGCTGCACGTGCGGAACACGCTCAGTTGTCGTGTCGGACACAGCAGCGAAAAGCAACCGACGAGATCAATGATACTTTCCAATTCTACAGGTTAGTAAACTGAAAATAGTTTAAATTAAGGGGGTCTTCCTATGTGACAGCTTGTTTTTTAGGGATATTTTAGGATTTTTTTTCTACGACCAGTAAATATTTAGAGCTTCAAGTTTTTTATCATTTATTACCACATATTTGGACAGTATAAATATAAAATTTCAGCTAAAAATATTCAGTCAAACTAGAGTTACAGCGCTCTGAACACCCCCGCCTCGAAAAAAAGAGCTCCCACTTCCTTCACGATTCCGTCTGATCGGCTTATCTGAAAAAAAAATAAACGGCGTTTTAATTTGTAGGCTTAAAAGCACGGAATTGACCTATAATCAAATGAATATAAAAAAATGGATTTTTGATAGACATTTGAAATAAAAGTTGCAAATTAGGCGTTTTTCATGTTTGATTGGTAATAGTATATTCCATGCTTTTAAATATATTGTGCCCTGTAAATTTCAAGTAATTCGGTCTAGCCGTTTCTGAGATACAATGGAGGAAAGTTTGAAAAACACAGTTTTGATAAAAACGCGTTTAAAGCTTCAAGTCCGTTAAAAACTATTAAAATATCAACTTACTCTTAATCGGCGATGCCTGGTCCATAGATAATTCCTTCCTCTTCTTCGTGAAACTCTTTTGAAGCAGATTGTTCAGCTCTTGAGTCAATCAGAACGTAAGATTCGCTTTTCATCCCGTTTCTCTACATACGCTTGGGCTTCACGACCAACAGGCATCCCATAATCGACATAACTTTTAAAATACCTTGAAAACCTTCATTAAAGATAATAACTGCTAAGTAGCTAGCAATTTCAACAATTCTGGGACCAGAATGAAGATGTTTAGGAGCGAAAGTCCAAATCAAAGAATTCAAAGATTCGTTATTGTTTTGTGTCTCTGCTCCTAAACAACGAATTAATAATTCGTCTTTCGATAAATCTTCGAAAACCGGTTTGATAGCTTCTTGGACTTGCGGAATTAGAGGTGGTTTATCGTGATGAAATTGGTCCAGTTCATTATTAGCTTCAGCCTTACGCCATTTACACCTACTGTCTTCGCCTTCTCGACAAAATTGATGCTGAGGGTTTTGATCAGAAGAACATTTGTGATAGTACGTCGCCCAAACTTCCTTTCTCATATCTTCAAGCGAATCTGGATGGCGTCGAATTGCTAATCCATAGAATTTTGTAATTTCTGGATAACTTTATCAGTAAGTTTACCTGCTCCTTTTCCTCCTATTCCTTTATTGGTTTAAGTCTATAGAAACGTGTCTAAACTTGTATAAACGGATATATGAATAAAAGGGAGGCCGGGTATAAAGCCGACGGTACACAATAGGCCTGGGCTCTAACTGCCAACTCAGCGCTCCGAACCGCTCTTTCTTTTACCTGCTGTATCTTTAAAACGACGTCGAATTTTCTAAAATCGCTTTACTACCGTATTCTAGACATGTTAAGGGAGCAATTTACGAAAAAAAATCGATTTTTACAACCCATCACATAGGAAGACCCCTTTAAGTGAATGTGTAATTGGTAATATTGTTCATTGAATTCTGTATTTCTTTCTACAGATCTATGCTGGAGGAGCGCAAGCAAGAGTTGCTGCGCGAACTTGAATCAGTCTCAGCTTCTAGGCAGACAGCGTTAGCGTCGCTTGCTCGCACAGGAACTGAAGCAGCAGATCGTATCCAACAAGTTTGCGATTTCGTAGATAAGCTCACCAGGCGCGCCACTGTTTCAGAAGTTCTTGTATTCCGTAAGCTGCTCGATCAGAAATTAAACTCATTATGTACAGCTGGAGAACTAGCTGTGAATTCTGCACTTGCCCATCAGCAGGAAATCGAATTCGTATCAAACTATCAAGCCATTCAGGTAATATTATTTCTCATATATATATATATATATATATATATATATATATATACAGTGGCGTCGGAAGCAAATTTTTGATGGGTGGGCTCGCGGGCCTGTGTCGTCTTGTTTTTTTTTTTTTTTAGACATTTGAGACAGTATCATATTTAGGGATTGAGATTGATGGGTGGGCTCAGCCCGCCCATCAAAATTCATGGGTGGGCTCAAGCCCACCCAGCCCACACGGTTCCGACGCCACTGTATATATATATATATATATATATATATATATATATATGAAATGTTAAATTTCCGATTTAATTAATTTCGTTTAAACAATAACTTATACTCTTTTCCTTTTAGGTCGGCGTGAGAAATACGTTTGGTTATATACGTTCCAACTCAGAACCGTCATCGAACCAATCACAGAAAAAGGCACCAATAGCTCGACCAGTTCCTTCTAATTTAAGTACAAATAATACTTCTCCATCAGACACATCTAGTGGAACTACTTCATTGAATGGCAGTTCTGGAAGCTTAAATGGCATTTCCCATCTCAATGCTCTCAACTCTCTTAATTCAATTAATTCTTTGCATTCCTCCAATACTCTTACTTCTAGCACTGGTAATAGTATAATTGAGAGAAGTTTTGCAACAACTATAGCACCCCCAACATCGGTGTCAAATAATCCATTCGAGTGCAATAATATAATCTCAAAACGATTTAATTCAGCTAATAGTTTGGGACCATTCTCAACAACATTATCTGAGGTGAATCCCTACGAAAAATGGTCAAATGGCGGCTGTGACAGTATATTCTCTGATCAATATACAATTGGTATGTATTGATAGAATATGTTTGTAATGTCTAATTACGTTTTATTTTTGTACAAGTTTTATTTCTATTTGGTTAGTTAAAGAAAATAATTTAAATTTTCTATTTTTTTTTTTAGGACCACCAGTTCCATCAACCAATAATATAATGAACGGAATAGAATCAAACAGCGTCTTAGAACTTACATCAAAACTAATGTCAGCTTCAGTATTTCCACCAAAATCTCAAATCAAAAGGCAAAAAATGATTTACCATTGCAAATTTGGAGAATTTGGTGTAATGGAAGGTAAAATAATCTTAAAAATACATTATGTTCAAGTTTATTACTGTTTAATAATTTTTTCATGCATCACTATTTGGCATAAATATAATATTCATAAAATGCCTATGGACTGATATGAATTATAATAATTGGGAGATATATAATATTTTGATGTGTGCAATTTTTGGGCACATATAATTATTCTTATTATTACAATGAAGACTCATGATCTTTACTTTCATAGAATTTGAAGTCGGGAATGAATTTTCATTATGAAGTTAATTTTCAATGTTATTATTGCTTATATAAATTTTTTTCTCATACAAAGTATTTCAAATCCGAATTATTTACTTTCAGGCCAATTTACTGAACCCAGTGGTGTAGCTGTAAATGCACAAAATGACATTATTGTAGCAGATACAAATAACCATAGAATTCAGATATTTGATAGAGAAGGTAGATTCAAATTCCAATTTGGTGAATGCGGTAAACGCGACGGCCAACTTTTATACCCGAATCGAGTAGCTGCTGTCAGAACATCTGGAGATGTAGTAGTCACTGAAAGATCGCCCACGCACCAAATACAGATTTATAACCAGTATGGTCAATTTGTCCGAAAGTTTGGCGCTAATATTCTACAACATCCCAGGGGTGTTACTGTTGACAATAAGGGAAGGATAATAGTTGTTGAGTGCAAGGTAAATTATCAAGAACTTCTATATTTCAACATCTATTTTCTGATATATAAAAAGTAAGCACCTGGAATTCCCGAATGGTGTTGTCGTCAACGATAAGCAAGAAATTTTCATATCCGACAATCGTGCGCATTGCGTAAAAGTGTTTAACTATGAGGGGGTGTACTTGAGACAAATAGGTGGCGAAGGCATCACCAATTACCCCATTGGCGTAGGAATAAATGCTGCTGGAGAGATTCTGATTGCGGACAATCACAACAACTTCAACTTGACTGTATTCACTCAGGATGGTCAATTGGTTTCGGCGCTTGAGAGCAAAGTCAAGCACGCCCAATGTTTCGATGTTGCGCTAATGGACGATGGCAGCGTCGTCCTGGCTAGCAAGGACTACCGACTCTATATCTATAGGTACGACATTTCAACCTTTGAAATTATATTATAAAAATGTATAGTACTTTTTTACTTCAATTGAACAAAACAAATCATAAGCTTTTTCTATTAAATTTTATTATTAAATAGATAATATTTCAGAAGTAGTTTTATAACAATCTATTTATTTTAAATTTTAAGGTAACAAACACTGGGGTCTACTTGTCCATTAGTTCTAAACAAAACCTTACAATTATTGTTGTTACCTTAAGCTAAATCTTTAACTTGTGCAGATCTAATATATTGTTTTGATATAATATTTAATTTTAATATACATATTATCATTTTAACTGTAATAAAACACATATATGTTTTTTTGTAGGTATGTCCAGGTGCCTGTTCTGGGCTTGTAACTCACCAACCTACAAGAATTCAGTGGCATCAGATTTGTAACTTGGTTCATCGCTTTACGAAACTTCAAAACTATCAATGCAATGTACTGAAATATGTTTCATAGAGAAGTCAGGTATTTAAAAAATCTTCTCATACATCTGTTTCAACAAAACCATTAATTTTCGGGTGATAACATCGGAGTTATGTGTTCTAAGTGAGATTATTGTTATTGCATTTCCTTGCCAATTTAATTTTTTTTTAGAAAATTATAAAAGCTAGGTTTTTCATCCGATTTGTTATGATAGTTTAGAAAAATCTCATACACATAAATTAGAAATAATTTCTGGACCAAGATCAATGATTCCTTTAAATGCGCATGGTAAGATATTTTTTTAAATTTTTATACCAGGAATTTGCAAATCACAAATACTGGATTTGTTTAAAATTGGATCTGATATTAAAAGTTAGTTTGTTTTAACATATTAGTATCGTAGTCCTGAATTTCAATTATGCAACTTCAACACATATAGTAGAATTTTGCATTATTCAAATTCATTAATTTCATAAACTCTGACTTGTATTGTTTTTCTTCTAAGAAAGAATTCATATTATTTTTAATTGAAAATTCAAAGGATTTTGGTTTTGATAATTTGACTTGGTCATAATTAAGAAATATTTGGAATTTGTTGATTTAATTAACATGCTAACCTTTTGCTATTTCAATTTCTTGACATGTTAAAAAAAACTTTGGCAAACCCATATTTTTTAAAAAATTGACCGTATTGTTTGTATGAATATTAGTTATGTTTAAAAATTTTAATGGGTTTTAATTTTTTTTAATTGATTTTACAACTTTGTTGTTTACCCTTTGAATTTTTTGACTGAAGCTTGATTTAAACAATACAAGTGATCGTTTTTGTTTTTTCTCACAGTTCATTTGTAAGTAGCTTAAATAATGGTTTGATTTTCAATCCAGATAGAAAACTTATTGTTGTATATATTATATATGATATATGTTGTGTTTTTTCATTTTTATATATATTTGTAAATTTTGAAACCAGTATTATATACGAGCAGGTCTTTTTGGCCTTGGTTGAATAGCGTAGAATTTTGTTAGTTTTTGGTCATATGATATTTTGTGGAATTAGAAAACGGAAGAATAATGGAATGAGTGACTTTCAAACTGAATCTGATAACCTACTTTTGAGTAAAACAATTAATTTTAATTGTACTTATTGCATAAAATTGCTGGTCATATAATGTTAATTTGTTATGAAATGGCAAAAAAAATTATTCTAAATATTTCTTTGTTTAAACAAAAAAGTATTGATTCAGATTCTACATAAATTTAAATACAGTGATCGAAAAAGAAATCAAGAAATACTACTTAATAAACTTACGCATATTATTGGAGAATTTCGATTATTGTAAATTAAATTTTTTATATGGTAAATTGAAATTCATAAATAATTCAACAAAAAATAGCCATCACAAAATTCTCAGTCACCTGCATATAGACTTTGATCCATATTTGTTATAATATACATATTGTTTATGAAATTCACTATACCATTTGAAGATATCATAAGTACATGTGTGAGGTGAATATGGTCAATTTTGTTATATTTCTTATTCTGTTGAAATAATTTATTTTTTATATAAATTTATTATAAACTTAGGATTAATACAAAATGAAAAGATTAGATGCGACTTGTTAATGAATATGTTCTTGGGGGCTATATTTTAATCCCGCAAATTGAAGTTGCATTTTTCTTTTCACTTTCAGACAACTTATATATTTGGTGCGACTATTCGCACTTATGTCTGTCCGTTCTTAAATGTGAATAATATTTTTTTTTGTTATGATGGTTTATTTAAAAAACTTGTTTCACAAATTTTGCGCTATAATTATTTGCTTTAAGTACTTTTCATTTTTTTTATTATTACTATCGTACTTGATCATTATTAATAATATTACTATTATTGCATATTATTAATCTATTATTATTATTATTATTATATATGAACTCGAATGTTGAAGAGTTATTGTTGTGTTTTCTTTATTTGTATTTACTAGATATAGAATATATGATCGATGTTTCAGTTTAAATAGTTTTTTTTTTTATTTCATCTTATATCATTTGTGTTTTGTAGTATGGTTGTCGCTCTACTTTCAATAACATACATTCAAATCACAAAATTCAGAAACAATACTGAAAATATATTTATAATATTTATAATTTTCTTTTTCATTGATTTTCTTACATCAAATGTAATTCTTCTCATTTAAAAGCACTTTAGATAATGAGGTACTACATTTTATATGCTTACATTCAATTTATTTAATATAACTACGATAATTTTAATTATTGTTTATTTTTTAAAATATGAAATTGACAGCAGATTCCTATGTACCACAACGTTAATTTATTATTTACATATATTTGTTGATAATTTGTGTATGTAAAATTGATTTTAATTTCAATACCCCATAGTAAGAAGGCCCACAGTTATTGATTCCATTTTATCTACAAACAACTATTATAAAAGGAAAATCTACAAACATTATATATTCCTTTGATAATAACGACGTTAGTTGCTAAGCTATGACATTCATATTAAACACAAATTTGCCATTCATTTAGGATAAAATAGCATTTAATTAATAAAAACTGTTTTGAATTTATCATATGTTATGTGTTAATTTTGTCTAGTTTTTATGTTGTTTTATACTCTTTTACATTGCTTAGTATAAAACAGCTACTACATAGTATTACTTTAATTAAATTATTTTTTACCAATTTTACGATATAGTTGGTTTATTTTTATTATTATATACTCTGTTGTACATTTTATTCATTATACATTATTATTATTATTAAATCTGTTTGCAATATTAATTTGTATTTTTACTTTATGTACCTACATTTTTTATTATTCACGTTTATTATATTTTACATGCTAGTTTTTTTGCCTCTATATTCTTTATTGAATTTATCTTTTGTTTTAATAATAGTTGCATTTTTAAGACAATGCCTTGGATTTGGTGGAATAAAATATTTTATGCTTTGAGTTCACAATAATAGTTGATCACCTATAATAAATTAATGCTCGAATCAATCATTTTGTTGCAGTTCAAACAGCTGTAAAACATTTCATTTGCTCTTAAGTTTATGTGAAATATTAATTATACAATAGATTGCTTAAAGAAATCTTTAGGCAATAGTTAAAACTTAATTTATAAATTCAAAGCATGATATTTAACTTGGTTGTTTTGTTTTGAATTCATAAATGTTAATGTTAATTAGTGTAATAAGCATTACTTAACTGGATATTATTAATGATGTTAGCATTAAGATTTACATCGATCATGTTTACTCAAACAATGCAAGTTAAATAAGCATTTAGCAATGTATACAGATGGTTAATAAAAATTATAAATTTATTCAATAAATAAGACGCACAATGAATGAAATAACTTAAATAAAATTGATCAAAATTTAAAAAAAACAATTTATCAAATATTCAGTAAAGGAAATAATTTAGAAAACAAATTTTTAGTAGGTAAATTATTTTATTGAATTAAGGTACAATAGATTTATAGAAAACTATAGTTTTTATTACTCAAGTAGGCGATTTGCTATAAAAGACTTGACTGCAACACTTAACAATTAAATAACTGTCCAATTAATAATTTTTTTCATGACGTTTATTGTTTCTTTACATCAAATAGTTAATAATTATTATTAAATGTTCTGATAGATTAACGATCATCTTCTGAATAGTTCTCTTTTTAACAAAGTACCAGTTGTGAGTAAACATATCGATGAGTTTGTTTAGGACATAAGTATTAAATATTAATCGTTGTCTATCTTGAAAGTTAATCTCCAGTAAATATTTTTTCTACAGTTTTTGATCGCTTTTGAAAATTTTATAATCAGGTTTTCTAATATTCAAATTTTTTCAGAAATGAGAAAAAAAAAATTATATGTAAGAAATCGAGGAGATGAGACCTTTGCGATCGAATATAGAAAAATGATAATTATTATTTATACTAATTATTAGCAAACACTATTTAAAATATTATATTCTTATTTTGAACTTATTTAATGCAGCCTTATGTTAACGCACAACATCGCACCTTTTTTTTTTAAATTTTGAAAATTTTCTTTATTTGACTTGACTAAATACATTGATTTTTACATAAAGATTTAAATTGGTGTATACAATTTGAGTCAAATAAAGCAAATTTTCAAATTAAAAAAAAAATTGTTGATACATTTTGATGCAAAAGAGCCCCATTTTGATATATTCAAAAAATACTTTTTACTTCGAACGGAAAATAGAACACTTTATCAGAAAAGGCACCATTTCTATTTCATGTGTTTTTTTTTTTTTTTAATTTTTTATGATTTAATTATTATGAAAAATGTATTTTCATATATCATAATGTTATTTTTGTCGAATTTGGTCTTTATGGGTGAAGTCCATTTGATAAAACAATAATTATTACATCAATATTAACTACTATACTGTTGTATGACAAAATGTAAGGTTTTGATACTAGTCCAGTCATTTTACGTGTGAACATAAAATAAATATTTCTAACTTTGTTTATATATTTTTTTATTCGATCACCAACGTCGTGTGTCCTCACGAAAAGAATGAGTGAATTTTACAGACTGACTTTTTCAAATTGAAAATATAGTAACTCACGGGAACCAAAAATAATGTTTACGGTAAGTTTGTTTAATGGAAAAATATCAAAATTAAATTAAATTTTAAATAAAAAAAATTGTAATGTGTCAAAAAAAGTAATATTGTGTTATCTGTTATCCGTGCAATTCAGGATTTTTATATAAGCAAAAATGAAATTGAATACTACTATTCACTGATATATATTTTTTACTCGCTTTTGAATTAATATGTAAGCCTTGACTTATTAGAATTAGTGATTAAAATGATTGACAAAGTTTTTCCACATATAACCGAATAATAACAAATGAATAAAGTAAATTATATAAAGGCGATCGATTTTGAAAAAATACTTGCTGATCAAGAACTGTTTTTTTATGTCGGTTATATAGAGGAATTACTTTAACATCACAAAAAATTGTTTGTAAAATTCGTAAACTGTTGAATTTTCGTATGTTGAAACTGTTGCTGTGTTATGTTGTGAAGTTAATATTATAATTATGAATAGTTAAGTAGCTTGTCTGTAGCTTTATTATAAAAATAATGAAATCTTCAATGCGGGAGCGAGAAGATAAAATTTGGTTATAATGATCCTTTCTATAGCTAGGATTTTTAAAAAAATATTTTATTATATTATATTATATTATATAATTAAAAATTAATTGTTAATACATTTTGAACAGTGAGAACTTAACGAGTTCTACGAGCTTTTGATGATGGCAACCCAAACGGTTATTCTGTCTCTACGAATTAATTTATTACAATTTTTATAATACTCATGAATTTTTCATTATCCAGCTGTTTACTCTCCCCACTAAGCCACTAATTATTTATATTAACTCAAAAATTATACATTTTTTGTTTTTATTCAAAATTGTTGGTTTTTGCCGGTGTAATTATTTTGGTCTGTTGTAACCAAATTTTATTTATCCTGCAGGGGCTATTTTCTGGAACACTTTATAAAGGTATATTTCTACCTAATTGATAAATAAAAAACTTGGAAATGAATCGAACCAAAAATTTTTTGTACCAGAAATTGGCACTTGATGCATTTTTATTAGTACTTTCGGATTTTGTGCTTCCGCACTAGTCAAACTTTAATGAATAGAAAATTCAGTGGAATGTGGAAATAAACATCTAATATAAATGTTTTTTAATGATTTATAAAATGTTATTTTTGCTTTTTTTGCAACTGATATAGAATAAAATAATATTATTTTATTCAAATAGAACAAGCAGTTGCCATTTGAAATTCGTGGGTGCGTTACATAAATTTGTGTTCCGGTTAGATAATTAACTATTCATTTAACATTGGATGTAAAAGCTAAGTAGTATATAGTAAAAGTAAAAAATGTACTTGCTTTTACAATATGCCAATACCAACCAAATTTTTCAGTATTATTCTACTTTTTATGATAATGTTATTTTCCACATTACAGCATTCAAGTTAACAGATTTATACGAATACAATCCATGATTATGAAGTTTGACTTGAAAGTATTTTGTATACATATATAACTAGTATAACTTGCAGGTCTGAAAAATTTTCCCATTTCTGATCTTAAAAATCTACCACATGTCAATTCTTCAACATTTTCCGATAGACTTCATAAAATAAGCCTAATAGTAGTAATTGACTTTTGATAATATTTGTTATAAATGTTTTTTAAAATTGTTAGTAGTATGATGCTGATTAAGCACAAATATAAATTGTGGTTGAATACATAGGTTTTATATGAAATCAAAATTATCAATCAACTGATGATAACATTGTCATGTTTGAAAAACCAAAATCGCCAAAATACTTCGCATTTTTTCTGTTATTTAAATTAATTAAAAACAAGAGTACATTAATTTTGAATCTTATTTCTTTGACTACACAAAGTTAAAAAATGTGTAATATTAACTACCTTCTTTGATCTTTATTTTTGATGAAGATTTATGTCTTATGGTTGATGAAAATTTGTTTTTTTTTGCAAATTTTAGCCGATAAGATAAAATCTGTTTTGAATTGCTGATTTTGAGTTCATATTCAACCTCGAAATAATTTTAAATATATATATATATATATATATATATATATATTACAGTAAATGTATGTACTTATTAAATCGTTGAATGACTGTTTTGTACTCATAATTTTAGAAGTGCGTTGGTTAAAATTGTGCAAGCTAGATATAATTTTGTATGTCTTCTACAATATTGTGACAATTATAAAATCAACATATATTCCAGAAATAAATATTGTAATAAATATGCGCTCATTTACTATATAACTTTAATTATACTATCATTTAAATAATTATGATTATCAAGATCGAAAATATGTTTATTACATTAAGTAAATTATTTTTGGTTACACTAATTTTGGTACACTATATAATTGCTTTGACCGATTTAATTTTATAAACTTTCTCTTAACTAAACATTAAGTGATTAATATTAGTCCTTGTTAACTTATCATTTTTTTGTAAATGCTCCTGCGCTATTTTTCTGCAGTGTTTATTTTTATTATTTATTTTTTAACCATGGACTCTATTATCCACGGTTTTTTTAAACATAGGTAGTGCAGGTATTATGAACAATAAATATATTTATATCGATGTTATTTTAAATATGTACTCATTAATTCGTTCTGGCTCGCCCGTAGGTAAGCGGTTAAGAACGATGGGACTTGTTTCAGAGGTCCCGGGTTCGATACCCACTTCGAGCAGCCTGTTGTCAGGCAGCAGTGACAACGATTTTCACTTGAAAATATAGATAGCAATATGTTTCCAAGTGAAAATAGCCCTCACCCGGCATTGCTGCGCCAATAAAATGCCAGCCCTATTAGATTAATTCTAATAACAAAAATCATCAAATATGGATGGATTAACCATCGGGTTACCATCTAAAAAAATACGAAGTAAGGAGAAGTTTCAGCCCAATAGTTCATAGGACGTAAGGTTCTGATTGCTGTTCAAAAAATTAAAAAAAAAAATAATAATAATAATTCGTTCTCAGAAGATTTGTTGACTCAGGTCGTTTCTATATTTACTAATCGTGACTTTGTATGATATTCATAAATATGTGCAGCATATAACTGTAAATGTACTCATCTTTTTGCTATGCTTTTCAAATTTCGGCTCCAATGCTTTTATTGGCTTGTGTTAAATTTCTTATAATTTAATATCCTACAAAAGCTATCTATCATCTGCATTCTTTTTCGTTTTAGTACCTTTTCTCTGTTACCTTCAAAAATTTTGCGCAGCAGTATTTCTTATCGCAATATATGGATCCAATCCAGTTTTGTTTTCTCTCTAAGGTCGATCCATTCAATTATTTTTCAGCATCACATCGAAACATTCCAGGCTATGTTTTTTTAACTTCCTTAGAGTTCATGTCTCTGATCCGCTCACATTGCAGATCAATCTTCTGCAAATCAATATTCATTGTTTTAGGTAGTCTTGTTGTTCATTTGCTGGAGACGGTCTTTTTCCATCTATCAACATATCCAGGTATATATATATATATATATATATATATATATATTTTTTTTCTATTTAGGATCGTGTTATCCAAGAACTGGACGAAATCTTTGGAGACAGTGACAGACCTGCAACATTCCAAGACACTTTAGAAATGAATTATTTGGAAAGATGTTTGATGGAGACTTTGATCATTGCCAGACAGATTCAGAAAGACTTAAAATTAGTTAAAAGAGTACAGTATTATAGGCTCACAAAAAGTGTAAAATGATACGTACAATGATTTTTACTTGAAAGTTTATGTAAGAAAAAAATCTCTCCTGACATAGACCTTTAAATAAAAATTCTGCTATTGTTAGATAGTGTTCTAAAATTTATTCCTTTAAATTAGTCGTAAAAAGTTGTGTTTTTTAAGTACCCACATGCTTAAGTTCAAAATACGGTGTAACCGTCACTTAAGGTTTCTTCTAGACTAATAAATTAATTTTGGTTTTGAAATTTATACCATCAGTTGAGTTGTGAAAAATAATGTTTTCAGAGTACCCACAAGCCATGGTTCAAAACAGGTTTATTAGATATGACAATAAATTCTGGCATGAATGATGGCGCGCATACAGTGTCGAAACGTGCACAATAAATAGCTATTTATTTATTCCCATTTATTTAGACTAGTTAGTTGTTTGTTAATATATATTAATTTTTGTATATTTTAGATTCTGCAGAATCCATGGTGATTTCGTGGTTCCTGCCGGATGCACAGTGATAGTCGGAACATACAAAATGCACAGAATGCCGGAACACTTCCCGAATCCGGACGTATTCGATCCGGACAACTTTATTCCGGAGCGAACTGTCAATAGGCACTATTACGCCTATTACCAAGGAGTTGTGTAGGCGAGTACATATAACAGCACTTGTAACTTTTAAACTGTTTGTGCAAAATAAATGAAATATTCGAAAAACTTGTCCAAAATTAAATTACCTTCAACATTGTCTAACACCACAATATACTACAACAACTCGGTATACTCTAAAACTTGGTCTAACCGTATATTTTCTTTTCCTCCACGTCGCAAATACGCAATGTTAAAACTGAAGATAATCTTGATGACGATCCTTCGTAATTTCCGCGTCCACAGCGATTTAACCGAAAAGGACTTCAGGCTTCAGGCCGACATCATCCTGAAACGAGCCGAAGGATTCAAGTTGCGCCTGACACCCCGGAAACCCGGAAGTTCTGTCAGGACATTGAAAGCGTAACCGGAACAAAAAGACAAGAATAGACATCGGAAGTGTGTATTGGACGATGAAATCGATGCAAGCATATAAATATATATACAATATGAAAAATTTGAGAAAATGTTATGCACGACGTTTCGAAAGTGCCATTATCAGACACAAACTTGTGTAAAAACAACTTTTTGTAATAAAACACTTGAAGAAGTGAATTATGCACTTTATGCAAAAAAAATCAAATAATGTAAACATAGATAAACAAGTATGAATGTAAATATGTATGAATGCTTGTATCAATTCATTACTTTTATTTATTCAATCATAATTTTTTTGTTATTATTGCTAATTTATTTAAATAATTTTTTTATCATATACATTTTTGAATGTTAGTAATCCATGACGTGAGGTATATTAGAAATATTTTGTATATTTTATTTAATTAGTAAATATTATTTTTATATAATTTGTGTAATTATGATGAAATAAATTTATGTGTTTATTGAAATTTACAAATGTTGTTTTCTTGATTAACGTTATGTAATTGATACAAACAATTCAGATAATAAAAATAGAAAGAAAACTATGCTAAACTAAACTACTGATAAAAGGTTGATACTAAAAACTGTGTTACCAGTCTATACAAATATATATTCTGTGCTCTATGTTTAATTTTGTGTTGTAAATATTTTCGTAATATATCAACAGTCTGTGCTGTCTAGTACTTGATTGAACAAGTGACTTTATCGTAATAACAATTATTCATATCATAAATTTAAATAGAATTTAAGTTGAAGTGTGTTTTTTGTGAAAATATGATTTAGGTAAATACTAAATAATATTTGATATTTTAATTTTAAGGGACAGTGGTTCATGTTTATGTAATTATAAATATTTTGGCAAATTGTTGGGCACAATTCTAAACAAATATTTGTTAAATACATTTACCAACAATACAATACCAACGCATTGTGATATTGATTCAGGTCCAAAACAATTTTTAATGCATAAATTTGTTACTTTAAACGTCAAAATTGAATTATATTGTTTAAGGTTAAACGTCAAACGTCAAAATTGACAGTTGTGTTCAGGTTAAAAATGTCTGTTGTGACATGTTTATTTTTAAATGCTTATTTTAAAATTGTTAATTAGTGAATATTTTATTTGAAAGCAAAACCACAAAAACTTAGTGAAGAAATCCGTTGATAGATACTTTTAAAATAATCAAATAGAACAGGTCAGATTTAGTTCATTTTTTCTGACCTTTTCAAAACTGCTCAAAATCAGAAATATTTCAAAAGAGGAAAATACTTTTTATCATTGTTCAAACAAAAGGTGTGTTTTTTTATAAAAGGAAATACGTTTTTGAATGTTTTCTTTAAAAACAAATATTCGTGTATTAATTGTCGTCTTAATAATATTTATTAAAAGTGCAGTTGTTATTACTAATTCAATATTTACATCATAAATGAGCCAAAACACATAAATGCTCTTTATAAGTAATGTTTTTTTTTTAATCATAAGTGCCATTTTCAATTAAATTAATTGATTAATTAAATTGATAAAATAAAATTTATTTGTTTGTCTAATGTTAATTAAGAAATTTGCACAAAATTAGATTACCAACAATTTTTTAAGTATTTGAATACTTTAAAATATCATTCAAAAGCAGAATAATGATCTTAAGCTAATTAGCGAGCTAACATGATGTTTTATAATATTTATGACTCATCAACCATATTGAATCCATGGACTACTATTCACGAATTTTATCAAACAAATTTTAGTCACTTTGAAAAACTTTTGCATATTTTCATTAATTTTTAGTAATTAGCAATATGCGAGTTTGGGACATTTTTTTACATTTTGTAAATATTTTGGAAATTTTATTCTGGACACTTTTATATGTTTATTTTAATATTAACTAGATAAAATTTGCTAGAATTTAATGTATATTGTTATATGCACTCAATATTGAAATTTTGAATAATTTGTAGTTGAAACGCTGATTTGAGTTAATAATTGACTACAGGTGGATTTTGGATTTTTTTTATATTTTGTCAAATATTTTGGAAATTTCATTTCGATTACCTTTATTTGTTTATTTTAGTATGAACTAGATAAAATTTACCATCAAATAGTATCAATTGTTTTATGTACTTGCATATCAAAATTTTAAATAATTTTCAGTTGAACCGCAAAATTAAACGTAATATGTAGATTTGGGACTTTTTTTTACTTTTCTTCAAATAACTTTTAATTTTCTTTTCGGGAAGGTTAATTTGTTTACATTAGTAAAAACTATATCAAATTCACTAGAATTTAGTACAAACTAGTACATATAGTTGGATACTAAAATTTCGCATAATTTTTAACTGGAACGCGAATTTGTGTCTGTGTACATTTGAACTGTGTACATCAAACAACTTGAAAATTTTGTTCTAGACATTTTAATTTATTTATATTAGTAAAAAATAGATAAAATTTAGATTTATAAATCATAAACCATAATAAAAGCAAAGACTGCTATTCACGCTTTTGTTATAACTACAGTGATCATATCAAATTATTCGATTATATTAAATGATTTCTTTGAAGTTGAATTGTTTTAAGAGCTTTTTTCAATCTTTGGAAATGATACTTGTACCAAGTTATACGATTAACATAAATGATGTAACTATTTGGCTGTACTTACCCACAAATTATTCGAATGTTTTTATTTTTTCACTAAGTTTTTGTGGTCTTATTTTCAAATAAAATATTCAAAGCTTACTTATTGTTACTAGTCTGGTATTAAGTAACAAATAATCTTATTTTAAATGTATATCTTTAGAATAAACATTTATTCTTTTCACAGGTACTTATGCACTTATAGGAACAGGAACCATAAAATTTGGGTCTCCCCTATACTAAAAGAAATTTATGATCAAAGACTTATTGGACAAAATTTTTGGATGATTTTTTATTAGGCCAAGGACGAAATTATCCTGTTTGTTGAGCTTTCAGGGCGTGTACCACTGGAAAACAACAGAAAATTTGGTTGCAACATCGGAATTTTTAGCAAAAAAATAGATTTGTTTTCGCTATTTTGGAAATATTGTTTACTGATTCCAAAAGATTTTCGGACGCTGATTTCAGAAATGCTATCTATTTTTGGATAAACCCACACACACCCCGCGAAACATCGAAATCTTTGGTTGCAAAATCGATTTCTTTTTTTAAAAAATCGGCTTTTCTTCGCGATTTTCAAAATGTTTTGATTGGTTTTGATTGATTTTGGGACGCTGATTTCGAAAATATTATCCGTTTTTGGATAAATCCACATACCGCTGCGAAAAATCGAAATCATTGGTAGCAAAACCAAAATTTTACTAATGAAATTAAATTTTGTTTTCGCTATTTTCAAAATGTTTTGACCGATTCTGATAGTTTTCGAGGCACTGATTCCGAATATGAAATCAGTTTTTGGAAAAAAAAATTCATCTGCCCTTGGTACCAAATTGAAGTTTGAAAAATTGCCAACTTTGAAGCTGATTTTAACTATGAAGACGATTATAAATTTGTATTTTTTTTGGTTTGGTATATAGATTGTACTTTAGTCTACACAAAGCATTAATTAAAATTATTAATTTCATTCATTAAGTGCTTTAAAATTGCATTTGAAAGTCACAATTTTGGCCAATTTTGGCTGCTCCTGATAGACTGTCTTTTTATCGAAAAAATAATAAGATTTTTAAATTACACCAAAGTAGGTTTGGTTTACTGCTAACCAGGCGTAAATATGAATTTATTAAAAATTATCCTCCTACTTTTTCTTATCTTTTATATATATATATATATATATATATATACACGCGTATATATATGCGTATATATATATATATATATATGCGTATATATATATATATACATATATATATATATATTATATTGATTTTTGTAATACTGACACTCAATAAATTTATTTCTATCTATATGTCTTATTTATTTACACAGTTTGAAAAATTATTGGCTCCAAATATTTTTTTCAGTCAAATGGGATTCGAACTGGCGAACTTGGAATTGATATTCTGGCCTAAAACGTATCTTTACGACCTCGGCCATTCGCACATTTAGCATACAACATTTTTAGGAAACTTATATCTTTCAGTTTGAAAATAACACTTTATATTTTTAAAAAAAGACTGCGGTTTTGTGTAATCAATTGGCCGAGATCGTTAAGTGACCACTACGATTGCTCAGCGTTTCTCGGTTCGATTCCAGAAGAGGCACAAAAAATCTAATGTATAGTTTTTCATAATTATCAAATATTAGTTCAAAATATTAAATTCAGGTGACGCATTTCGACCTTGACACTTAGAATATTTCTGAAAAATTCAAGGTTCGCACTTGACTGTAAGAGAGATACATAAAGAAAAAAAAAAAAAAAGTAGAGGAAGAACTGGGGAAAGAGAGGGGTAGAGGCAGATGATGAATAAGAGAGATGTGTATGATACATATTCTTTATTAAAATTCAATATTAATACAATATAGGAATAAAAATAACTTTTATCATCAATAACTTAAATAGCCGAGCGGTTTAAGTGACCGCATACTCGGTGAAATCGCTCTGGAGGCAGGCACAAGGTGAGACGGATCGAGTCCAGCTGAAGGCGACGACGAGCAACTCTGAAGCAGAAAAAATGGAGCAGTGCTGGTGGATGGCTGTTGGCGAGCGCAAAGGGTCCTGAAACGAACACACGAAGTGATGGTCAACCAGAGGTCCATGATGCGAGAGGTTACATGCAGAGGGACACATTGCGGAAGAAGATGCATGCCGGACCCAAAAATCTACCCAAAAACCACGACATGCGAAAAAAACACCAAAAAAAGAAAAAAAATGTGAAAAAAAGCAAAATAAAAGGGGAAAAAGGGGAAAGAGGAGGAGGAGGAGGAAGGGGAGGGGTGGAGAGCCTAAAAAAAAAACCCCTTAAGTCCCAGATCAATTTTTCTCTTTTCTGTTCAGCATTGAAACTTTTTTATGTTTTTTAGTGTTCCCTCACACCAATTCCCAAAACCAACACTCGAATGAAATGAAGTCCACGTTGAAGTTTTCACAACGAGGAAAAATTACTGGGACTTAGTTAAAATTTTTAACTTTGTCCCAATAAAATTTTCTCGTTGTGAAATATTCAATGTGAGCCTCATTCATTCGAATGTTGGCTTTGGGATAATACAGCATGCATAAATAACTCATCTGTCTTAATTGAAAAGGTTTCAGAAAATTTGGACTTAGAAAAAAAAAATTATCTGAAAGAACTTAGAAAATAAAAATTATTCGAAAGAATTATAATCAGAAAATTTGGACTTAGAAAAAAAAAAAATTATTCGAGAGAATTATTTAATTAATCGATGAAATGAAATTATATTAATCGAATTAAAATCGTTTATACGACTTGATAAAACATGTGAAACCTTTACAATTAATCGAGACAAAAAAACAAATATAGCTGACTTGAATAATATACAAATTATTGGAAAAAGCCAAAAAAGAAATTCAATAAAACTTGTAAAATGAAATAATAAAAAATGTTCAAAAACTTGAACATTAAAAACTTCAAAACTGTTATAAAGCTCATTGTTATCCTTTAGAAATCGAGTTAAATAATTTTTACAATTTGAATCGAATAATAAACTTGTTAACAAAATTATATTTTGTCTAATCATTCAAGTCAACTCTTTGAAACTTCGATTACATGTCTTGATCAAAATTGTTTTTAGCAACAAAAGAATAAAAATCTATCATTCAGCTATGCAGCGATATGATTGAATAAATTTAAAAGAAAATTACAGTAAAAGACTTTTAAAAGCTGCATTTAATTAAGAATTTGGTAAGTCGTATTGAGTATTTGAAATAATTTGATCAAAACCAACAATCGTGTTATCCAATAAATAAGAATGTACATGCAGTCAACATTGCTACAGGGAAAACACATGATTCTTGATACTGGAAATGTAATTTAAAAAATTGTTTCCAAAGAATAATGAACAAGAGGTGTCATAAAAAAAGAGATTTTTGTAACAAAGTAAAGTTAGGAGTTACCTAAAGAAGGATGCTAGGGCCTCTTCAACAAATAAGTAGTCGATGCAAACAAAAACTGAATTGGTTAACTAATAATTTGGTGATAAAAATTCAATATATAAGAATTATGAATTCTACACAAAATCAGCTCATAGTGTTGTTATAGAACAAAAGAATTTCTGATAGACTATTCATGGAATTGTAATAATATAAATTACTTTCAATGACTTTGATACATAAGAGAAATATAAACTTTTTTCTTTTATATATATTTAAAACAAGTATAAAATGCACTTGTATAAATTTAAAAAAAAAAACTGAATCAACATGTTTTCCCCATAACAAATTAAATATGAACATAGTCTTTTACACATATGTCTGCCAAATTAACTTAAAATCTTTTATTAGCTTATTGTATATTAGTTGTAGTTGAATAAACAAAGAATATATTGTATTCTATGAATTAAAAATTAATAAAGTATATCTTATCAAAGATAGTGATATGGACTCAAATATAATAGTATAAACAATATTTTCAGCAGATATATGTATATAACTATGATAAATAATGCGCGAGCCAGAAAGCACAAGTTCTCAAAGCACCCCCGAATTAATTTCATTTAATATGAAAAACAAGCATTAAATACGTAAGTTTATAAGAAATATTATTATTACAAGCATAAAAGTAGTATATAATAAAAAAATCAGTCATTAATTGTAAACCTCTTTCAGAAAATAAATTATGAGTGATATCTTTTTATTTATTTCTATTTAAATTATAGTTTCACTAAAGATTACAAAAAATATTGTGATAAAGTAAACATTTTCAAAAATATTTGACTGCTTTAAATTCAAAAATAAGAAAAACTTAATGTATATATACTGCATATGTACTTTATTTCAAATATTCAATATTTAATTCTTATGTGTTTATATATATATATATATATATATATATATATATATATATTTGTAAATTTTTTTGCAGCCCAACCGTCGAATTAAAAAAAGATTAAATAACAAAATTATTTATTCCATTATACGTTTCGACACTTGATGTGTGTCATCATTCAGTAATCAAACCAGGAAAAAACAGGAAACATTAATTATGATGTAAACATTGATATTAACACTAAATTTGTGTAAAATAATAAAATACTATTAATTAACAAATGAGAAATAGGAGGAGCACATATTGCCCTCCTATATTTAATGTTATGGTAGCATAGCGTTGTGTGTACTATTCCCAAAATTTACAAATATGTATCAACGTCGACAAAACTTTCATCATATAAGGCCGAAACGTATGTTTTCATAATAAAAACATTTTCCTTTAATAAAACTGTTATTAATTACTGGATGGATGCCCAAGAACAATTTTATCATATTATTTCACCATCTGAAGAAAACCCTCACCCTTTATATATATATACATAAGAATTAAATATTTAATATTTAAAATAAAGTACTATATATCAGATGTAGTATGATAAATGCCTGTATATATCAGAAATATATTCTTTGACTCGCTTTGTATAAAACATGCTTTGCACTTACATTGTTCGATATCCTCTATAGCAGCTCCCAGAACACTAACTCATTACTTGAACCACCTCTAGAGCATCCACCAGAAATCTCAAGTACTCGACACAAAATCACTACTTTAGAGCCACTACATAACTTTAGTCTTTTACAAGTCTACTCGACATGTTGCAATTGTCCCAGTAAAGTCTTTACACAATACACAACACACGACTCTTATTAGAGACTTTCGTGAATTTAGAATTCGATATAAAGAGATATGTGTTGGAAGTACTCAAATATAAGCTATAAAAGCACATATATAAATTATACTGTTGATAATTGCATGTATATAATTAAAGGATACATTGGCGCTGTAAATGAATTAATAACCTACAAAAGCACATATATAAATTATACTATTGATAATTGCACGTATTTAATTAAAGGATACATTGGCGCTGTAAATAGTTTAACTATAAAATTGATTCAAAATGGAGACCCTGAAAGAGATACTTATCAAAGGCACCTCCACACATATCCATTTTTTCGGCTTTTAATTAACGTTTCACGATAAATTTATTATATCAAATTGATCTACTAAATTAATTACACGTTTTGATGTACAAATTAACAAAATCCAATCAAGGATTTAATTAAAAACTCCTAATTAACGCGACAGCATGTTAATTCACGAAATTCTATTTGACAACTGACGCAATTGAAGTTAACAACATGTGTCAAAATCGTCAATATATAATTTAGAGCGCGAAATTCAAACTTTGTAAATTCACAAACTTTGATAAGACTACATACTACATATTATTAATGAATATTATTTGAAAGATCATGTAGTGCATATTCATAATGAGGCATGAACAATTTTCGTATTTTCATTGATCAGTCATTCAACTTAAATCATGAACGTTAATAATAATATGTTTAATAGTGTCAAAGCGTAGTTTTTGCCGGTGAGATTCCGGCTATCCCACACAGATCACAAAGCGACTCGATTTCTTTTTATAAATACCAATAACAATAATTTTATTTTAATTAATTCAATAAAGTGCACAAAAGCAAGAATGATTCAAATTGGTTGAGCGGTCGGCCAAAAACGCCGTCGAAAAATTGTATCAACACATGCATGCATATGCATACATACGCACGCATCAATTTTTTCTAAATTATGCCAAAATGCTCAGAAACATACTTAATACAGTAAAGCATACAAATATAATAAGTAAATAAAACTTCTTTTAAATATAAATATTTAATCAAAGTATTAAAGAATTACATAAAATTATATCTCAATTGGTAGTTTTAAAGCTTTTTTTAAATAAAGTCTTCTAACTTTTTGACAAAGTTTTATTCTACAAGATTTATAACAATAGAAAGAAACTAATATTACGATAAAAATATAAAATAATATAATTGTTGCTTGAGTCGGCATTGCACACTTGTATATGAATGTACTCTCTGGTGTAAAGTATGCCTAAAGATTATTATTATTGAATAATTTAATATAATACAATTAATTAATAAATTTATATTATATTATTACCAATATGTAATTAGGATCATTTCGATTTCTGTAATTGAACGATGCAACAGTATATTCCAGCACTTCGGAATCGAATGAATGTTTATAAATGCACCCATAATGCGTGTGACCAGACCATGCTTCTCGGAATGATAAGGCATTATACAAATAGTTTGAAGCATTTTTTGATAGACAATCATATTTTTCCTTCATTACTGTTGTTCTATCTGGACCTGTGGCGGAATCCCATTCAAAACATAATTCCTCATTTAATCTATACAACGGAAAATGCTTGAACAAAAATATTTTATTTATTTACAATAATGTAAATACTTTCAATAATGTAATATTTAAAATAATTTATCTACAGTAATGAGAATTACAATAATTAAAAGATTATCAAAATAAATGAAGGACCTACACATTAGAAAATTAACAATCCCATATAAATGTTAGCTATTACCCAATCTTTAAACATCTCTAAAGATTAAAAAACTTTTTGATTTAGAGGTATTTGATCTTACTTTGATTTATTAGTTGTTTTTTTTTGGTATCTAAACTACACAAAAACAAAACTTACTTGTATTAATACGGGTCTACTATATTGTTGATAATTTTTCACATTAAAGCACTCGCCGGTTTTGTTCCAGCATTTCATTAAATCTAAAATTTATAAATATTATCAGTGCAAATCTAATATTAAAAAAATGGATTCGGTATGAGATAAAAGAATTTCAAAATTTCAGTGAAATCGCATTTTCCACCAGGAATTTTGAGCCAAGAAATAAGAAATTTTAATCATAAATCTAGCGCACCTCATTTCGTTTTCATTTGAATTTCACATTCATTTCTAAGGCGCCGAAGAAGAATTAATATTGTTTTTCATTGATAAAACAGAAAAATTAACAAAAAAAAAAACAACGATTTCTTTACATTCCATGATTTTTTTAAAAAAATATTTTTATCAGAGGTAAGCTCAACACATGCAAAAGACGGTAAGAAAAAGAAAAAATGAAAACTATAAATATTTATTACCAATAATCGTTCAAAAACTCATTTATCCCATATAAATGCATGTAAAATGAATGATGGTCATGCCAGAACACTCCGACCGTTCGTAGATAAATAAATTTTCGACCGACGGAGGGTTAATTACCTTCTTAACTTCCCGAAGCAGAAGTTTATGTTTTTGTAAGAAAATCCAATTTGCTAATTTTATGTATTCTTAACATTTCAAGTTATTCTGAATCGTGAGACCAAATTGTGTATTTTATGTGATCCGATTTTTGACCTTTCGTCAATGTTTTCTCAAACACATCTGGACTAATTTCAAAAATATGAAAGCCATTCTATGTAACAAAATAAGCTTGCGTTGATTTGTTTTGCGCGTGTATATGCCATGTACATTGAGACGCCTATTAGACTATTAAAGAAAAGTTAGTAGGAAAATAAGTCTTTCTATTAATTATTCCCAAATTATTAATTATATTTCTAATCTTATTCAAATATTGTGAATAACTTATTCCCTAAAATTTTTCAATAATTGATGGTACAACTTTTCATGCATTCTTGAATATAAATTATTGCAACTTCTTGTTTGAATATTTGTTTTATTAAAAATACCTGAAATTTGTTCTATTAATGCTTCAGTCTTATTGCATAAGTAGCAATTATCCATTTCCATAGCTATCGAATTAATTAGAACAAAATGAACATCCTTAATAGTAATTAATTTTACAGGATCCGTGTCAAATAATGAGGAGAAGGTTTGCTCACGGGATTTGAAAATTCTGAAAAATAATATAATAATATATATATATATATATATATATATATATATATATATATATATATATATTAGGGTGGTCCTTAAAATGGTCATTTTCGAATTTCCTTGCTCCCAGGGTCTCAAATGGTTCCAAATTGATAAAAAACAATTCTCTGAAAGTTTAGCTCTTAATCTTAACGTTTAGATAGAGCGCAATTCAATCAAAGTTTCTATGGAAAGAGCATGAAATAAATTTTGGAAATTCAAAAAAAATGTTTTAGGTATAATTTAGCGACAAATGAATGAGTTTTATTCATTTATTTGTTCGCTAAATTACATCTAAAAAACATTTTTTAAATTTTTGATAAATTTTCCATGCTATTCCATACAAAACTTTGATTGAATTGCGCTCTATCTAAACATTAAGATTAAGAGCTAAAACTTTCAGAAATTGTTTTTTATCTATTTGGAACCATTTGAGACCCTGGGAGCAAGGAAATTCGAAAATGACCATTTTAAGGACCACCCTAATATATATATATATATATATATATATATATATATATGTATAATAAATAAAATCTAGCTACTTGATATTTTTTGTATTTAGCTTTTGACCTATGTGATTTTAATGCTCATAAGTCATGTATTATAACTGCAGTAAATAACGTGATACAGTTTGTACAAAAAGAATTAAATTAGTTGTTGTTTAACATATCTTTGTTTAGTATCTTTTCAAAGGTAATCATTCTTGTTCTATAGAATTAATATGTGTATGCAATATCTTACTCATAATGAAATCCTATGTCGTGATTTCCAGCAATGACAAAGGTTGTCGTTGAGTTTGGAACACTAAATATGTTTGAAAATTGTTCATGGTATTCTTTTAATTCTTTTTCATTAGACCATAGCCCTTCATTTAGTAAATCACCTGTAGAATAATGTGTCAGCAAATATTTATTAAATATTTGTTTCAAATGTGGGATTAGACAGACTCTTACGAACATCATACTGAAATTTTATTACATATTCCATATTCAATTATTAATGTTAAATTTAGTAGATGTCGTTGATTGATAAATAATATATTTATAATACTTGACAACTTATTTAGTATAATGTTGTAATTCTATATGCCAATTAAAATTAATTACAATTTTATGATTTATGATTTTATGAGGATGAATGAGTTTCATGTGATTTTCTGTAAGAATGGAAAACTTATTTTACAATATTTTTACAACACAAGCAAACAATTTATTTACTATCCATTTTTTGATAAGTTATTAATTAATACCAGGTGATAAAGTAAAGAATCTTTAAAAAATGGCATGTTTTCATTCACTTGATTACAGCCCTCCAAATAACATGTTAATTAAGAGAAAAAAATGTTTTTCCACGATTAGTAAAACTGTTTACAACTTTTTTTTAATTCTCGAATTTTTTATAAATGGTAAAAATTGGAATTGATGAGCATAGTTCCTACAGATTTTAAAATATAGTTAAACTTTGAAGATAAAAAAATTGATTTTGCAAAACTTCAAGACTAGAATACCCCCTCATTATCATGATAGCAGTTCAAAAATAAGAATAAAAAAATTGTGTAATTTTGATAACTATGTAAACGAGTATAAAAAAGTAATTATATATTATATATATTATATATATATATATATATAATTAACACATTGCATGTTACCTAAAATAAACACTATTTCTGGTTTGAAGTGTAATTGCAGTTTGAAATGCTCTAGTCATTTGCCAATTTCTCAAAACTTGGTCTGCCCAAACACTTGTTTTCCTTCCAAGTAAATGAGTATCTGTTATAATAAGAGCTTTGACCGGATCTTTGTAAGGATGATTTTCACTTAATTTCGGCCAATCACACTAAAAGTTAAATCAGGTTTATTCACTGTTTACATTACAAAGGTCGCTCATTTTAACCATACCTTCAATTGAACTAAATAATATATAGCAAACTCGTTAAAAATAACAGTACTCAGCAATATGGAAAAAGAGATTACAAGTATTTTATATGTATTTGTTCTCTTCATTGCTATTTTTGGTTCAGATCCATTGCTTATTGTAGTGCTTTCTTGTTTATTATGACTTCATATAAATATGTTTTTGTTACTAACTAAATGCATATATTTATTTACTGAATATAAAAAAACATTGACAATATTTTATTACACCAGGTGCACGTTGTGTTCTATGAACTACTAAAATAATTCTAATTGTAATGCCAAAAATATATTTATCAAATATCAATATCAGAAAAATGTGATAAGTTCCTTTATCTAAGTAGATAAGCCAAAAATATGAGTAAATTCATATTAGGAAATAATAAAAGTATTACTTGTTCGTTCTACTGCCGATTTTATCTTTTTTGCATTTATCTTAATGTTATTTATAAAAGTGTTTAATTACTCTGACAGGTGTAGTTTTAATAAATCAAGTTAGAAAAAATAAATGAATAAAAATTATAAATATAAGCATATACCAATTTCATCAAAATCTATCATAAAATCTTCGTTATTTACTTATTTATTTACTTAGTTTTAAAATCTTTTATCCGGAAAAATTTAATTTTAATATAAAATTTATTTGTATTTGTTTTCCAGTAAACATGCTCACCTACTCGTTCCGTTATAATTTTTTGTAAGGTTTTCGAAGAATTTTTTACAATCTAATATCTAAATAATTAAATTTTATTCATTAAATATAATAATATAATATAAGAGATTAAACACATAAGTGAATTGCATTATAATGCCTTTTATGTGATAAAAACGGCTCTCACAAAAGAATAGTTATTGGTAATATTTGAATTGTGTAATACATGAAAGCAAGCAAATGATTGATTGATATACAATATATTAACTAAGTTCCAATGCATTACTATTTAATAAAACTGTAATTTTGAAGCATATTTTTTAATAAAATGTAAAAAAATAGAATGTAGAAATATTTTATATCTTAGACCTTACAAAAATAAATGCGTGTATGCGGATACAAATTTTCATCGCCGATTTCGGGAACACGGATCAACCGATTTGAATGATCGAAACAAAAAAAGACAGAACCAGTAGTTTTGAAGATACGGGGCAAAAGTTCAGTTTTGAGAGAACGTAGCGTCCTATTTAAATGTTTTCAAAAAAATATTTTGTATTGTGAATAAACTGATAATTTTTTTAAAAGGCACGTTTAGAGGTTTAACAGATGCAATAAATAAAAGTAAAGAAATCACCAGATATTTTATAGAGATATTAATAATAAGTACAAATTTTATTCAAATTTCTATGGGTTCCGTACCAAATGTTTAGCTGTAAGCAACAGCAACATGACTCTTTGATATTTCGTCTCTAAAACAGCTACGCAGGCCGATTGCTTTAAAAAAATTTTCTATATTCGTTTTTTTTTGAAAAGGCAAATTCTTAAAAAAATTCAAAATTTCTCAAACCAGATTTTTTCAAAAGAAATTTAAAGCCTATTTTATACATTTTATTTTCGGTACAGAAATTGAAGAAAATCGATCAATCTCAACTTGATATAATTCAAAGAAACCTATGATATCTGTAATTTTTAATTTGATTTTATCACATACTTAAATATGTAATAGAATATAAAAACAAAATCACTTTTGAATATTGTTTATACTCGATTTGATGGGTATATAAATTATTGTAATTGTTATAAATTTTCATATTTAAGATGTATGTTTAAATCATGAACTCTATCTCAACATGAAAATTTTCAGATGAAATAACAGAAAGCACTGTGTTATATCGAGCGGCATCGATAAAAGAAGATACTATAAATTTAAATATAAATAATATATTTTATATATTAATAGTTTTTCATAATATTTTATACCGGCATTCCTGGCTGACATGCTAAATATATATATATATATATATATATAATATATATATATAATCGATGCTTTTCTGACGCAACCTCGTAACTCGATTTTTAAACGATTTTGAGTTTTAATCGGAAAATCAATCCTAAATATAGACGCATAGATCTGTGAAGTTTTATAAAAAAAAAATCAACCGAACGTTTTTTTATTGAGAAAATACAATCACGTATCTCAATTCAGAAAATGTGCCATGCGCACCCTCGTATCTCAGAATACATGATGGCGTATATAAACGCACGGATCAACCGATTTGAAACATTCAAAAAGCAATCGCTTCCTATTGAGAAAACAGAGTATCCAATTTGAATTATTTAAAAACATTCAATTTGTATTGATGACGTGGTGATTAGTTTCTGAAAAAGACAGGCCCAGTCGTTTCAAAGCTTCCGATTCGAATGATTCAATGAACATTTTGCAGTATAAAGAATCGATTAGTTTAGGAAAGCAGAGTTTTTTTGTCCATTTTTTTTTAATTTACAATTATTTCTTTGTTTAAATATAAAAAATGATTCGAATTTTAATTTTAATGCTAGCTAATATTCTAAAACTCTCTTATATACCTCAAATAAATAAATTTAAATTTGCAAATTAGTTTATATAATTCTTAGAAATATATATGAGATATGTTTTTTTTTTACTTTCATTTACTTTTTATGTAAACGAATATAAACGTCGTTGTCCAGTTTATTCTTATATTTTGTCATTCAAATACGAATAATGAAAGTTACAGTATTTATAATAATCTATTTGTAATCATTTATTATTCCTCGATTCTATTTAATTACGCAAGTTTAATATTGTTTGTTTTTTTATTAAGAATTATTTAAAAAGTTGATCGATTCTCAAAATAAAACAATTGAAAAAAGTTATTCATGTACTCTTATTTGAAAACAGCATGACGCAACCACATATGTTACATTTTTTTCCGTGCGACAAACACGTATCTCAAAGAATTGAAGAAAAAATAATGATTAATTGTTTGTAATATCATACTTGACTCAAATAATTGTCACAAGATTGAATATTTTTAAAATTTATAAAAAAAATTGTTAACAGCAGTTCAAAAATTCGTTATAAAACGTTTTTTGTCTCTCCTGAAAAGTAGTAGTTTCTGAGATACGAGGTTGCGTCAGAAAAGCATCGATATATATATATATATATATATATATATATATATATATGAAAAATTGATATTTCATTTTAATTTATAATGTTTTCTGCTTCTATAAAAATATGTTATCAAGCCCAAAATTATCACAAAGCTAGACAAAATATATATATTTATAAACTGTATTTTCTGTTGGCATGGCACATTTGTATATAAGAGTATCATCAACTGAGAACAGGGCCTAAAATTAAAATATTATTATAAAAGTTTCATACCTTTTTAAGCAGTTTCATTCTTTCAAATTACCAAAATATAACTGGGATCGTTTCTATTTCTCCAACTAAATGAAGCAACTGTATACTCGTAAACTATTGGATTCTCCCAATGTTGATAAATACATCCTTGGTGTGTGTGACCTGACCAGGCCTCACGAAAATTAATAGTCAACTGAGAACAGGGCCTAAAATTAAATTATTATTATAAAAGTTTCATACCTTTTTAAGCAGTTTCATTCTTTCAAATTACCAAAATATAACTGGGATCGTTTCTATTTCTCCAACTAAATGAAGCAACTGTATACTCGTAAACTATTGGATTCTCCCAATGTTGATAAATACATCCTTGGTGTGTGTGACCTGACCAGGCCTCACGAAAATTAATAGTATTTTTCAAAAATTGTGTTGACTCTTTAGAGAGGCAATCCCACTTCTCTCTGAAATGGTCATTCGTAGGTAGTGAGTCCCATTCATTGCACAAGGCATCTGATTTTCTATATAATGGGAAGTGCTAAAAATAAAATATCTTACACATACTTTGTTTATATAAGGTGCTACATACATAATTCCGCTTTCATCTATTCCTAATATTCCTTCAAACTTTTTAAATGCTTTTATAAACATTCAAAATGTTCATCTTTTCTAGATTGTTATGTATTAGTGTGATTAGTTAATGTAGAAAAAAAGAATATATTTTAGATCAAATGCTAATACCTGCATTAAAATCGGCCTACTATAATGTTTCTTTTGAACAACCTTATCACAACTTACTACACCTTCCCAACATTTTAAAGTCTCTGCAACATAAAAGATCATGTTAATAATATTATTATTATTTGTAAGCTCAATTCATGATTATCATAATTATTAGGTAGTCATACCTGATATATTATAAACCAGATTTTCAGCTTGTCGACATAAGAAACATCCATCACCTTCCATAGCCATTGAGTACAAAATGTACATTCTTAAGAGTTATAATACGAACAGGAGGTGCATTTAATGTAATCGAAAACCGTTCTGCTCGAGATTTGAATATTCTAAAAAGAGCAAAATTATAGTACTGTGATAAATAGCAATTACTTCAACACTTTGCAGTTATATGTGTTGGATTTTTATTTTTATTACCATATGAAGAAAGTTGTTTTTTTTATTTTTTTCATTCAAAAATAATTATTTTACATTTTATATATAGGATTTATTTACTTCTTTATATATTTATCATTATCTTATTTAAATATACATGTACCTAGAAATAATTATCATAAATAATACTTACTCATAATGAAAGCCTATATCATGATTCCCAGCAACCACATACATTTCTATATTTTTAGGTAGTTTAAATAAATCATTAAATCGCTTATGATATTCATTAAATTCTTCTTTATTAGCCCAAAGACCTTCATCAAATATATCACCTAAAACAATATTTTATACTTAATTAAAATAAAAATATCATTAAGATATTTTATTACCTAAAATAAATACCACTTCTGGATTATGTAGGGCAATAGCTGTTTGAAATGCTCTATGCATTTGCCATTCTCGACGTAATTTATCAAACCAATGGCCTTTTCGTTTGCCAAGCAAATGTGTATCAGATAAAATAAGAGCTTTAATGTATTGGTTATGTGATTGTTCTGTGACGTTGGGCCAATTGCACTGTGAAATATTAACATAACATAACACATAAAATTGCACTGTAAAATGTTATGCTAATTATGAGTAAAGAAGCAAAAGGTCAATAAAGAATACACATATCTTTCAAGAAAGTAAAATTATTTAACAATTTAAAATATTGTGCAAATGTTATAAAGTTTAATTATGATTAAAAATTGTGCACTTACACCATACTATGTAATGGAAGAACAAAAACGTTCTATGAAAATTTATATTGTCGCTATCTCCTTCCCTGTCAATAAATTACGAATTCATAAATCAGTACAAAAAATAATATGGCATGTAATTCAATGGTGTTCCAATAATAGTAATGAATAATTTTTATAAATTACACAGAAAACCCAACCTCTCAAAATGTTTTGAAGCCTTTGTAGCAGTATCAGATAATTTTTTGAAGTTCAATATGATGAAGCTGTGAATATTTACTTAGCTTTGATTGTAAAATTTCCAATCATTACAATCATTAATATTACTTATATGGAACTAAATGAATGTGATGTAATTATAAACAATGTCTATGTTACCCTCTACAAAGCATTAAAATTAATACTGAGCATAAAAGAAATATTCAATAGCTTTTACATGTATTTGATTTATTCATACTTTGCCTTATTATTCGATACCGTTGCCATATTTTCCTTAGCACCACTTAATATTAAAAGAATTAAATCAAAATGTATGATAAAGGTTTTCGAATTTTCGTATTGTTAAGAAAATATCAATTGAGAAGTTGTTTAAAAACTGCAAATAAACATTTTTCTTATTTCCTATTCTTACCTTAAATTGTATTAAATAGTAAATAAGATACTCATTGAACAATATAATGAGCATAACAGCTGCAAACAAATGCAACATTTTCCTTTTTATCGAAAACGTTATGTGTGCCATGGTGTTGTGGATTCCAATTTATAACTTCTAATACATATTTTAATTTATATTATACATATTTGCGTTCATATTGAACATATAATATACCTTCCTTACATTTAAAAAAAACATTGTGTCTTTTAGGTTAACATTTCTACGAACAACTTCAACAATGAAATCAAGTCTTACAACATAGTATGGGTAGATAGTAATCATAGATGTGAAACTATAAGGTGTGCACATTTGGTCGAAGACTGCGTTTCAGAAACTTGAGCGCCTCTTTTGTTTGAAAATCGAACCAACGTTTATTTGAATCTTTAATTTTAACAATAAAAGTGTTATAATCTAAATAAAATATAATCTGATTAGGTCTATACTGATATTCGATTATTTTGCTCTCTAGCCATTTATAGTGAAATTAATTTAATTTACAAGTAGTTCAACAGTTGTTGATTTACACGTAAATAATCTTATTTTATAGTGAATATATTTCATTTATATGATCAGATTTTGTAGAAGTACATACTCGTAATGATTGATTATTGCAATAAAACAAAAATGTGTAAAATAAATTAACTAGTGGTGTTTTCTTTATTTGTATGTGCATCTATTAATCTATGATATAAACCCTACTTTAAATCGCTCGACCAATGGGAGTTCAACACAACATCAAATGCAATGTGTCTAGCTGTCATTTTCGGCATTTTGATCATTAGTTAACGAACGTTGAATAATAGACTAAAAACTATGATATTTACGAAAATTATAACATAAACACATTGTTTTATAAGAACTTACTTATGATCAAAATTTAATTTTTGCTTTACAATGATTCCTTCGTACAAACTGTGTTATTTAGTGTTAGTTAACCTAAGTATTTATTTTTTACTAGCCAGCGCTGGACGAGATTTCTATTCAATATTAAAAGTATCTCGTAGTGCGACGTTAAATGAAATTAAGAAAGCTTATAGGAAACAAGCAAAGGAATTGCATCCTGATAAGAATAAAAACGATCCAGATGCAGCCTCGAAGTTTCAAGATCTAGGAGCAGCTTATGAGGTATTATCTGATGCAGACAAAAGAAAAAAGTATGATAGATGTGGTGAAGAATGTTTGAAGAAAGATGGCATGATGAATAATCAAGATCCATTTGCGAGTTTCTTTGGAGATTTTGGATTTCATTTTGATACCGGTGACCAGAGACATGAGACTCCCAAAGGTGCCAATATTGTTATGGATTTGACAGTATCATTAGAAGAACTTTACAATGGCAACTTTGTTGAAGTAAGTAATGAAGAGAATAATTCATACATTTAAATACAGTAGTACTTATATCTTTTTTTCTATCTACTCATATTCGTTTTTATGTACTCATAGTTTGTTTATTCTACTTGTAAGTAGCAATAACATTTCTAGTTGGTAGATAATTACCCATATCATTCATAACTTCTGCACATCAATCTTTTTATGTATATATTTGGTTATAGTACTTGTAAGTAGAGACATCATTTCTAGTTGGTAAATACTCACCCATATCGTTCACAATTTCTGAACATTAATCAAAAAAGCTAATTCGTTCACTATTCTTTGGGAGATTTCCTTCTGAGATGTGTCGTTCTACAAGCTTATAAAATTATTTTGCATTAACAAATGATTTATTTAATATATTTAATTTTTATTTATTATTTTCTATTAATGTCCAAATATATTTTAAATTACATTTAAAAGTTACTGACAATTGTATCACAAAATCACATTAAATGTTTTTTCATATGCTTTCAATATAAACGAGAAATGAAATATATTAATATATTTCATTAATATATAAAAAAAATATATAAATATCTATTAATTATTATTCTAGATTACGAGAAACAAGCCAGTAATAAAACCAGCCAGTGGAACACGCAAATGTAATTGCAGACAAGAAATGGTCACAAGAAACCTTGGTCCAGGAAGATTTCAAATGATTCAGCAAACTGTTTGTGATGAATGTCCAAATGTAAAATTAGTAAATGAGGAGAGAACATTAGAAGTAGAAATTGAATTAGGAATGGTTGATGGTCAGGAAACTAGATTTATGGCTGAGGGAGAACCTCATCTGGATGGAGATCCTGGAGATTTGATAATTAAAATAAAAACTGCTCCTCATAGCAAATTTGAAAGACGAGGAGATGATTTATATACAAATATTACATTAAGCTTACAGGTAATATACTTACTTACAGTAAATATATATTAAAATACTGAGCTTAATTAATTTATACTAGATCTTGATATTAACTTCACGTTTTTTATATAATTTTTATTAAATTAATTGGTATTATTAATTATGGAAATCATATCATAAAAAATATAAGTTGTAAATATAACTTTAATGTTGGAATCATTTTTATATGAAAAGAGAACTAGATCAAATTTACATAACATGGATTACAAATATATATATTTTTATATGAAATTTGTTATTCACAAATATTAATAATATTAGGATGCTTTAACTGGTTTCACTATGGACATAACACATCTGGATGGTCATAAAGTAACAATTCAACGAGATAAAGTAACATGGCCTGGAGCTCGCATACGCAAGAAGGGTGAAGGAATGCCAAACTACGAAGATAATAATTTACATGGAACTCTTTATATAACATTTGATGTTGAATTTCCCAAACAAGAATTTACCGATGAACAAAAACAACGTAAGATAAATATTATAAATTTCATTCTCATAAATTTATATTACATATTAGCATTCAACAATTTTCACTTTCATTCTTTAAATAAAACTGTTTTTTTAATTTATTTTTAGAAATTCGAGATCTATTGAATCAGGCATCAAATAATAAAATATATAATGGTCTCCGAGATTTTTAATGGAATTTTGAGGCATAAAATATGACTGAAACTACCTATAATTGCCTATTTATATAAATGAATACCCAATGTGATTCTGGTTTTAGTTTTAGCACAACAAAAATAGAAACTGACCAAAGAAAGTTGATTTTACAGTAAAAACATGTTAAAGAAATGGGTATTCAGAACTATATATATAAATATATATATATATATATATATATATATATATATATAAAATAAATTATAATTGTTTGATATCATATTTGACACATTGTACCCAGTGTGCCCAAGAAATCATAGAGAAATATGTGTTGTAATGCAAAAAGAGCACAGAAAAAAATAAACAGAGTTTTACAGATAAATTCACTATTTTAATTATTAGATTATTTATGAACGCTGAATTTATTGAAAAAAGGAGAACAGAGTGATACATTTTGATACCATTTAAACATTCAAAATATTCTTGGTAGTTAATAGTTTAAATTACTACTACTGCTTAACAAATTGTTGTTAAGCTGTCTATCTGTCAGAGCAAGAAATTGTGCATTTGAATTTGTTGAAGAGTTATTAGTTTTTATGCTGCCTATCCTTACCAAAATATACTTTTGGATCTCCTATTTCTCTCAAACTGAAAAAAAATGTTGGGTCTTTTATATATAAATCATATATAAATTATGCATGATATAATGAAACATTTAGCTAGTTCAGTTTGCATAAAGATCCAACATATTACTACTCTACATGTCAAGTTTTCTAAATTTTGTTAAATTGAATTTCCTTGCATTTTACATGGTATAATAAAATTAGGTATTTACTACTTTCATCAGAGTAATATGCCTATTTGGAAATAAAAATTAGAATATTCAAATCTATAAACAAATTGATAACTATATTAGAAATAATAATAATATAGCACACGCAATAATTACTGAACTATTTAATTAAACAGTTTTGTGACGGACTGTTTAAAATTTTTTATTTAAATTCGATTCACTCAAATATTCTGAAATTATTTTTTAATTAGTTTCAGGGTTAGATAATAACTCAATACACAGAAAACGAAACTTTAATCCAAACAAATAGTATTTTATTAACTTTCATACGCGCCCTTTCACATTTGTTGATCGCGGTATATAGACCCAATCGAACAGGTTCAATACAAGAATATATGTAAATTTTAAAAATCTTAGTTTATTATTACTATATTATCAGGGCCGGATTTAGAAATTTGGCGCCCCGGGGCACTGACAAAAATGCCGCCCCATCCCTGAAATTTTACGAATTTTCGAACTTTTTTTTAAAGCAATCGCGCTGCTTCAGCTGCGTAGGGACAAAAAATAGAAGCGCGTAAGCGCCGCGTCGCCGTCTAACGGATAAACAATTTTACAGAACGCATATAAATGTAAACAAAATTCATACTTATTATTATAATATCTTTAAAATATCTGATAATTTAATGTGCATATGTCTTATGATCACTTTTGTCCGCCAAATATTTCTTTTTCAATTTTTTTATCAAAACCGCTAAACCTGCCCCCCACAAATTTAAGCAGTTATTTATTCTGTAATTTTTTTGAATGATATTGGACGCTTTGTTTCAAAAACTGAATTATCATTTTTGGCATTTTGGCCCGTATCTTCAAAACAGTTGAACCTGCCTTAGCCAATAACTAATCAGCACGTCTCCTTATCAATCATTTAAATTCGTTGATCCGTGTTCTCGAAATCGACTTGAATAATTAAAAAATAATATATTTGTATTGATGGGGAGACGTGCTGATTAGCTTTTGGCACAGGCAATTACGAAAAATGGTAATTGAATTTCGATATTTCTTCTCCGAAACAGCTACGCAGCGCGATTGCTTTGCAAAAAGTTCATAATTTTCAAAAAATTTCAAAATACAAAAAATGTGTTTTAAGTCTTTTTTTTTCATTCTTCAAAAAATTTTAAAGTTGTTTATAAAATGTAATTTTTAGTACGGGATGTTTCAGGAATTTGTCTTAACGCACAATGCCATGAGTCACTAGTTTAATTTTTTTTCGACGCTATAAGCTTGGAAGTGGACAAACTCATATTTTTCTTATACTTTCAGATTGTTTACGGATCTTTATATTAGCCAAATTGCCAAATTTACGTTCAGAGAGGGATGCAAGGCAAAATAATAAATGTTAGTTATTGGTTATTTCAACCCAAATTTTGCATTGCAATTATATTATGATTTGTTGATTATATTTCTTGAAATATAAGATGTTGTTAAAAAAAAGTTGATTTGTATAGAATTTTTTTTAACTATCCA